ATCTGGTCCAATGCAAAATTGAAGTTCATGTAATTCGTTTTAATTTCATTTTAGTAAAATCAAACCTGTCCAAAGTTAAGAGCCCACAATGACTCTTAACCCCCGCAGGGTTATTTAGGATTATTTCCAGTCTTCCAAGAGGTTTGCGTCAGACAGAAAATGAAACTTTTAAAAGGAAAAAAAAAATGCAGATGAGGAAGTATCAATGGTGGAACAAGGCTGAGCTCTGATCTGCCATGATAGAAACTAATTAATAATTATTATTAATAAATTGATCCAGTTTTTTCTAAATTTACCAACTTTTCCTTCTCCTATAAATTGTCAAACAATCCAGCTCTGACTTCATGGGTTGCAGTGGTTTTAGTACTGATGCCATCATCCATGGGGCTACAGGTGATTAATGATAACTGTATTCAGGTTAGCTGCCGTTTAGCATCTCTCTGCACGGTCCTCCCAGCTGGGTGAGCAGATCCAGACGAGCTCTGCAGCAGCAGAAACACATGAGGACGTAGCCTAGATAAAGTGATTCAGCAGCACCGTTTCACCGCAGTGTCCCATTTTATTCACCTTTCCTTCTAGTGACGCCCTGCAGGAGCTGGCAACTTTTAGATGGAAACACTTTGACTGCAGCTTTTCATACCGCAGCTTCATGACTAAGGTTAGAGAGGCAGAAACCCAGATAAGCAACAAATCAACAGTTACCAACCGCAGCTGCTTCGATTAAAGCCAGCATTAGAAACGAGGATAAAGGTATAAAGAAATTCAAAGGAGAATTATTGCAGTTTCTCTTCTACAGGTTTTCTGTAACTGAAGAAGCGCCTGAAAGAAATGAAAGCCTTTCCGTCTGAGGAAGTGAATAATTATGATTAAATACGGGTCGTTTAATCTGCTCTATTCTTCCTTTCCCTTCACTTTAGAGTTTCAGAGTGTCTTGGAAAGGACAAGGAGACCTACTTTATGAAGCAGTCACAAGACACCTGCTGCCCAACCACAGACACACACACACACACACACACACACACACAGAAAGAGGCAGAGAGGCTTAAAAAACTCTGCAAACTTCTGCACTTACAGCGTCACGTGTGATTTAAGTTTTTTTCAGTATCTTATATTACTGCAGCAGCTGGGAAGAGAAGCATCTTCAGTCTGACCCTGACTAACGGTGGATGTTATTAGTCAGGCACCAACTAGCCTGAGCGTGAAAGACTTTTTCTTTGCTTTCTGGGTTGGTTACTGCAGTAACGTTACAGTGTAGCTAGGAATGCATTGGCTAGAAACACAGCAGGTCAAATATCATCCAACCAAACCTACAGCAGAGGAGCTGGGTGCATTTCAGACTGAAGAGGCTCCAGTTATTCCATTTGCATCTACAGTACAGCAATGTAAACTACAGCCGTGGCAGGCAAATGAGCAGATCTCTCTCTGTTTGTGTGTGTCTGTAACTGTCTGGCCCTCAGAGTGAAGACCATTTTTACAATTTCACATCAGACTGAGGACCAAATGTTGCAAATTGAGGACATTTTGCTGTTCCTCACAAGGTATTTTGCCAATGGTTAGGTTTTAGGGCTACGGTGTCAATTAGGGTGAGGTATGCATTAGTAATGGTTAGGTTTAGGGTCAGTTTTAGGGTTATGGCATAGAAAGGTTTGAGACTGACTGAAAATCAATAAAAGTCAATGGGAGTCAATACATGGTCCTCACTATATATAGCAGAACGAGTGTGTGTGTGTGTGGTGTCAGAGGCTCCAGCCAGGAGGAATCTCCTGTACAGTCACAGAGCTCCGACAGGCTTTAAATCCATGCCTGTTCAATAACAGAAAGACTTTTTGTTTGGAAGGTGGGACGTTTCCAACAGCTGGGTTCAAAGTCTGAAAAAGTCCTGATAAGATGAGCAATGACTGAAAACAAACTGCTGCAGGGTATCATGATGCCTTCCTGCCACTGTTAAATAGAACAGGACCTGATGGGGGCTCAAACGGCTCAACAGCGCCATCTGCAGGGTATAGACACTCATTTGTGCCGCTGCGACAAAAACAAATCTTCAACCAGGCAAGTTTGACATGTTTACAGGGGTTGCCATGGAGAAAGCTAGATATCAGTTTGAGGTTGACTTTCACTTCCCTGCAGTGCTAGCAAAGATCATCAGGCTCTCAAAAATTGGCATCATCTGATGATTTTTAAATCCCCCTTTTGCTAAAAGTCCACTTAAAGAGAAAACGTCCTGCAGCACCAAAGAGTTAGCATTCAGTTTAGCTCAATCCCAATGTCTCAAAGCATTTAAGAACGGATTGAAACTGCAAAGCGCTGTGTGGTCCGACGTCTTTCAGTCAGTCATCCGACCATCTGCTTCTTCAGTCATTTGTTCTGCTGGATCAAACCTCAGCGACCATGCCTGCTCATGACCCTGCAGC